TCCACAGTCTCTCATGGTTTTTCTCCCCCTCTGATTACCACCCTTCATTTTCCCCTTCCTTCTCCTAATGTCCTCCACGCTATTCCTTATGTCCCACAAGTAAGTGAAACCATATGATAATTGACTTTCTCTGCTTATTTCACTCAGCATAATCTCCTCCAGTCCCATGTCAATGCAAATGGTGGGTATTCATCCTTTCTGATGGCTGAGTAATATTCCATTGTACATATGAACCACATCTTCTTTATCCATTCATCTGTTGAAGGACATCTCAGCTCCTTCCAGTTTGGCTATTGTGGACATTGCTGCTATGAACATTGGGGAGCATATGGCCCTCATTTTCATGTATTAATTTTTCGAAGAACCAGATCCATTATCATTGATCTCTTCTATTGTTTGTTTCTATATCATTTATTTCTGTTCTTATTTCCCTCATTCTGCTGGTGTTAGGCTTCATTTGTTTCTCTTTTTCTAACTCCTTTAGGTATAAGGTTGTTTGATATTTTTCTTGCTTGTTAAGGTAGGCCTATATTGCTATGTATTTCCCCCTTATGACCACTTTTGCTGTATCTGAATGGTTTTGGACTATCATGTTTTCATTTTCATTTGTCCAGTTATTTTTAAAAATTTCTTCTTTGATGTCCTGGTTGACTCATTATTTAGTAGCATGTTGTTTAACCTGCATGTATTTGTGGTCTTTCCAAATTTTTTCTTGTGATTGACTTAAAGTTTCATAGTGTTGTGGTCAGAAAACATGCATAGCATGATCTCAATCTTTTTGTATTTGTTGAGGCCTGATTTCTGACCTAGTATGTGATCTATTCTGGAGAAGGTCCCACGTGCATGTGAAAAGAATATGTATTCTGCTGCTTTAGGATAGAATGTTCCTAATACATCTGTTAAGTCCATCTGGTCCAGCATGTCATTCAAAGCCCTGGTTTCCTTGTTGATTTTCTGTTTAGATGATTTGGTCATTACTGTAAGTGGGTGTTCAAGTCCCCTACTATTACTGCATTATTATCAATAAGTTCCTTCATGTTTGTTATTAATTGTTTTCTATATTTGGATGCTCTCAAGTTAGGCAAATAAATATTTACAATTGTTAGATCTTCTTGTTGGGTAGTCCCCTTTATTATGATAGAGTGTCCTTCTTCATCTCGTTACAGTCTGGTTTAAAGTGTAGTTTTTGGGGCGCCTGGGTGGCTCAGTGGGTTAAAGCCTCTGCCTTCGGCTCAGGTCATGATCCCAGGGTCCTGGGATTGAGCCCCGCATCGGGTTCTCTGCTCGGCGGGGAGCCTGCTTCCTCCTCTCTCTCTGCCTGCCTCTCTGCCTACTTGTGATCTTTGTCAAATAAATAAATAAAATCTTTAAAAAAAATAAAGTGTAGTTTTTGTGATATAAGTACTGCTAGTCTACCTTTCTTTTCATGTCTGTTAGTATGATAAATTGTTCTCCATCCCCCCACTTTCAATCTGCAGGTGTCTTTAAGTCTAAAATGAGTCTTATTGGCAGCATATAGATGGGTCTTGCTTTTTTTTTAAATCCATTCTGACACTCTATGTCTTTTGACTGGAGCATTTATTTAGTTATCTTACATCCAAGGTAATTATCAATAGATAGGTATTTATTGCCATTTTATTACTTGTTTTATCATTGTTTCTGGAAATTTTCTCTGATCCTTTCCTGTCTTTGTCACTTTTGGAGTCTCCTCTGATATTTCTTGCAGGGCTGGTTTAGTGGCCACTAACTCTTTTGGTTTTCATTTGTTTGGGAAACCATCTCTCCTATTCTGAATGATAGCCTTGCTGGATAGAGTATTCTCGGTTGCTGATTTTTCCCATTCAACATACTGAATACATCACACCGCTCTCTTCTGGCTTGCTAAACTTCTGTGGAGAGATCGCCAGCTAACCTTATGGGTCTTCCTTTGTAAGTTAAGGACTTCTTTTGTTTTGCTGCTTTTAGGATTTTTTTATCACCACATTTTCCAAATGTAACTACAGTATGCCTTGGTATTGGGGTGCTTTTGTTGATTTTGATTGGAATTCTCTGTGCCTCCTGGATTTGGATGTCTGTTTCCTTTCCCAGATTGGGGAAATTTTCAGCTATTATTTCCTCTTCTGCCCCCCTTTTTCTCTCTTCTTCTTCTGGGCCTCCTATGATACAAATATTATTACATGATGGAATCACTGAGTTCCCTAAATCTATTCTCCTATTCCATAATTCTTCTTTCTCTCTTTTGTTCAGCTCCATTATTTTTCATTATTTTGTGTTCTTTAAAAACATTTCTAGAGGGGAGAGAAAGAGATACACAGAGAGAGAGAGAGAGAGAGAGAGACATATAGATACATAGATATGGGGGAGAGGCAGAGGCAGAGGGAGAAGGAGAATCTTAAGCAGGCTCTACTCCCAGCAAGGAGCCCGATGCAGGCCTCAATCTCATGACCCTGAGATCATGACCTGAGCTGAAAACAAGAGTTGAATGTTTAACCACTGGAGCCATCCAGATGCCCCATTATTTTGTCTTCTATATCATTATTTATTCCTCTGCTTCTTCCATCCTTGTGGTCATTACATCCAGTTTTGAACCTCAGTTATTGCGTTTTTCATTCCTCACTGGTTGCTTTTTAACTGTTTTATCTCTGTGGTAAGGGCCTCCCTGAAGTCTTCCATTCTTTTCTCAAGCCCAGTGAGTATCCTTATGATTTTTGTTTTAAATTCTCCATCAGGCATGTTATTGATATGTATCTCACTTGGATGTCTGGCTGTGACATTTTCTTGTTCTTTTTTTGGGATGAATTCCTCTGTCTTATCATTTTGTCTAGGTCTTTGTCTTCTTCTCTGCTAGGAAGGCCTGTTATATTTCTTGCTCTTGAGAGTAATGGCTTTATGAAGAAGAGGTCATATATTGTCCAGGGCTGGGTGTTTTAGGGAATATCTCTGGTTTGTGCTGTATGCACTCTGCTACTGTGTTTTGGCTGCTCTATCCCTCAAGTCAGTCTTCTGCAGAGTTTCTCCTTGTCTGTAGTTGGCAGTGTTTGGACCTTGACCAGAATGTGTGAGTTTTAACTAGGTGTGTTCTGGTCTGTTTGTTAAATGAGACCTGATACCACTTCCACTAGAACTGAAGCCCTGCAGAACTCTCTGGCTGGTAGACATGGTGCATGCAGGGGTTTCTGCTGGTCTTCTGGGGAAGGGGCGTGCTGTACTGGTCTTTAGGCACGCTTGCAGGAGAAAAGCAATACCAGCAGAGTGCAGGGGTGGGGGTGTGGGACGTAGGGTAAGCAGGTCAGGCAGCCAGTGTGTGGGCACTGGGCTGTTTACTGAAGTTGGTTTACGCAGAGGGATGGGAGAGGGAAATGGTGCCAGCCAGCTCCTTTGTCCTCGGAGACAGGAATCCGTGCTCTCCCGGAAGCACTACTAGAAGAGTGAATAATTTACCCTCATGTGTTCTAGGTATTTTTCATGTTTTTCGGTGTTTTTACACTGTCCCTGGGTTCTTTGCCTGCCTAGAACAGCATAGTGCACTTTGGGCTTTATATCAGCCAAGCCTACTGACTTGTTAAAACTCCAATCTTTAGGGACCAGGTGTGGTGGGGATCTGAGCTGGTCTTTTGGGGGATGGTCTCGCCATACTGGGACTGATGCAGGTTTGACCCAGAAGGGCAGTCATGCCAGAGCACAGGGGCATGGAATTTGGAGTAAAGCAGATTAAACAGCCAATGTCTGGATTAGCTGCTTTCAGCAGGTGTCTCTGGACCTATGCTGAGGTATGGGGGAGAGAAATGATGCCTGTGGCTCTTTTGTCCCCAGAGTAGCAAAGCCACCTCTCCCAGATATGCTCCAAGAAGAGCAAACAATCTCTCCCTGTGTGCCTTAGGCAATCATCAGATTGCCCTGTCTGCTCTGGTGTTTGCCTGCCTTCTCTACAGAAGCAGTGCCTTTGGGTCTGTAGCCCAGTCAAGCCTGTGGACCTCTAAAACAAGACTTTGAGACCAGCTGGTTGCAGAAACTCATGAAAATTGGCCCCTCTTGTTTTCCCAGCCAATGGCTTTGGGCAACTATTCTCCTTGTGCTTATCCTTGTGCACTCCACTTCCCTTGCTTTTCTCTACAACCAGGGCTCCTGCCCCTCCATAGCACTCACTATTCATTTCTCCCCCAAATCATGTCTTTTTACTTCCTATCTTCCTCGATGTGGCCTCTTCTCTCCCTCTACTTGTGCAGTTTGTTCTATCAGTCCTCAGGTCAATTTCTTGGGTATTCAGAATGAATTGATAGTTAATTAGCTGTGTTTGAGGGATGAGGCAAGCTTAGGATCCTCCTACTATGCCACTATCTTAGGTCCCTGGTGAATCCCAGTTCTACTTCTTACTAGCAGAGCAATCCTGGGCAAGCCACTTACTTATTATATGTGTCTCAAGTGGCTCATCAGCAGAACAGGGAATAAAATAGGGGTGTGAATATGTTGGTTAAACGCTATATAGTGTAAGGCAATATTATTAATAACTAGTGTCTGAATCAAGCCTTGGGAATCATAATAGGTCAAAACCGGATGATCTTTAGACACCATCTTATTCAACCCTCTTACTGATCAGATGGGAAAATTGAGGCCAGGGCTGCAGGTGGAGGGTACAGGTATGTATGTAATGGAGTTGTCTATGTTCACACAATTGCTTGAGGGTAGAACTTAGACTACTACCTGGTTCTGTTTACTCAAAGTCAGTGCTAGTCTTGAGTGTACAATGATACCTGGTACTTTGAGGACCACTAGGCACAAAAAATATACCAATGACTTTGAAGTCATCATATTTAACATGTAAGTGTCTTTAGAGATTAGAAATCTGGGCCTCAAATAAAGCACTATAAGTGGGAATCCCCTTATTCAGGACACAAAATATTCTGGATTAAAAACAGGGTGACCATACCCTGTTAACTTATTTTACTGGTGTTGATGCTCTACAAATCAATTACCATAGATATTAGAAACTAATAAATTACCTGATCAAGCTGATCCTTTCTGCCAACTTCTCTGTGTGTTCTTGAGTGGGAGGGACATTTTCTACGAATGCAATTCCATACAGCAGGAAGTTTTGCAGAAAGTTCTTCAATCCCTCATTGGTTTCTAAGAAGCTTTGGAAATCTACAGATGGAACTTGGGCTCGCTGATAGATTTCAGCATTCCATAAGATTCTAGGTTGGATGACCTTTTGTTTTTGCCCCTCATAGCTGTTTCTCACCAGCCAATCCAAATCATATTTAGTCACATGACCATCTGGCCCTTTAAAGGGAAAATAAAAGGCATTAAAATAATAGTTATAATTACTGCCAATAATTTTACAGTTAAGGAAGTCATTTTTAGCAACCAATTATTCAGTGCTATATTGTTTATGAAATGAAATTAAAATGAGTGCCTATAATATTCCTGAAACAGAAATATTTGTAAGTTGAGTAGTATGTACTAATAAATGAATCAATGAACAAATCTCACCAACTAGAAGGGACTAAATGAACTGGGGCAGTTTGACCTAATGAAATGACATCAATAAACATGATAAAGTGATTTCATAAGTGACTGCTCACAGAGCCAAAAAAAAAAAAGTAAAAAAAAAAAAAAATCCCCGCTCAAAAATAACATTAGAAAATCTTCAGGATAAGCAAAGGATATAGCAAGGGGAGTGAAAAGCTTTGCTGACATCTCATCTCTTCTTTCACTTTTTACTTTTCTGTCTCTGTTTTGGCTTCCTACTCCTTGACAATGAAAGTTATCATAAGTAATTTGTAAAGCATAAAAAAGTATGAGGAAATTTTTAAAATTATTTTTTAATATGTTCAGTTAGCCACTGTATCATTAGTTTTTGATGTAGTTTTCAATGATTCATTAATTAAGTATATCTCCCAGTGCTCATCACAACACGTGCCCTCCTTAGTAAGATTTATTTTAGAGAAAGAGAGAGCGAGTGCACAAGTGGGGGGAGGGGCCAATCATGGAGCCTGATGTGGGGCTTGATCTCACCACCATGAGGTCATGACCTGAGTCAAAATCAAGAACCAGATGCTTAACCAAATGAGCCACCCAGGCACCCTAGTATGAGGAAGTTTTTAAAAATCACATATATTTACCATTCTATCACACAGATGAAACCCTTATTAATAGTTTGGCATCAAAATATGGAAAGAACCTAGATGTCTATCAACAGATGAATGGATAAAGAAGATGTGGTATATACACACACACACACACACACATACACACACACTAGAATACTATGCAGCCATCAAAAGAAATGAAATCTTGCATTTGCAACGATGTGGATGGAACTAGAGGGTATCATGCTTAGCGAAATAAGTCAATCGGAGAAAGACAACTATCATATGATCTCCCTGATATGAGGAAGTGGAGATGCAACGTGGGGGGTTAAGGGGGTAGGAGGAGAGTAAATGAAACAAGATGGGATTGGGAGGGAGACAAACCATAAGTGACTCTTAATCTCACAAAACAAACTGAGGGTTGATGGGGGGAGGGGTGTGGGAGAGGGGCGGTGGGGTTATGGGCATTGGGGAGGGTATGTGCTATGGTGAGTGCTGTGAAATGTGTAAACCTGGCGATTCACAGACCTGTACCCCTGGGGATAAAATACATTATATGTTTATAATTAAAAAAATGTTAAATAAAAAAAAAGTTAAATTAAAAAAAATAGTTTGGCATCATTCCCTCCACTTGTTTGTATCCTGCCTTTTTCACTTAACATTTTAAGAGTCATTATATCATTAAAAAAATTAAATCTTCACCTATGATCACTTGTTTTGTTTCCTAAATTCATAGACTTTTAACTACAGAGAACATACTGATGGTTACCAGTACGGAGGTGAGTGGTGGGTGGGGGAAATAGGGGATGGGTATTAAGGAGGGCACTTGTGATGAGCACCAGGTGTTGTATGCAACTTTAAATCACTAAATTCTACACCAGCATCTAATGTTACACTATATGTTAACCAACGGAATTTAAAGCTTAAAAAAATTAAATCTTCATAAACATTAATTCTTATAATTTACAGAATATGGACTACCAAGATTTATCTAACCAGTCTGTTCTGGGGCAAGTAGCGTTATTTTTTAAAATTTCCTTATTGTTTAATCGTGATCATACTTGTCTATATTTCTTTTCTTTTTAAAAGATTTATTTATTTATTTATTTTAGAGAGAGAGAACATCCAAGTGGGAGAGGGACAGAGGGAGAGAATCTCAAGCAGATTCTGTGGTGAGCACAGAGCCCCACGTGGGGCTTGATCTCACAACCTGAGCCAAAATCAAAAGTTGGATGCTTAATGGACTGAGCTTCTCAGGTGCCCCTCTTTTCTTTTTTTTTTCTTTAAGATTTTTTAAAGATTATTTATTTATTTATTTATTTGACAGAGAGAGAGAGATCACAAGAAGGCAGAGAGGCAGGCAGAGAGAAAAGGGGGAAGCAGGCTCCCTGCTGAGCAGAGAGCCCGATGTGGGGCTCGATCCCAGGACCCTGGGATCATGACCCGAGCCAAGGGCAGAGGCTTTAACCCACTGAGCCACCCAGGCGCCCCTTTAAGATTTTTTTAAGAAAGGTAGACCCCAGCAGGGAGGGGCAGAGGAAAAGGGAAAGAGAGTCCAAAGTAGACTCTGTATTTAGCGTAGAGCCAGATGTGGGGCTTAATCTCATGACCCTGAGATCATGACCTGAGCCCAAACCAAAAGCCAGACACTCAACTGACTGAGTCACCCATGTACTCCACTTTTCTATATTTCTGATAATTTTCTTAAAATAGAAGCATAGAAGGTGGGATTGTTAAACCCAGAGACATAAACATTTTTTTAACTTAAAAAATTTTTTAAAAAATTTTTTATTAACATATAATGTATTATCAGCCCCAGGGGTACACGTTTGTGAATTGCCAGGTTTACACACTTCACAGCACTCACCATAGCACATACCCTCCCCAATGTCCATAACCCAACACTCTCTCCCTACCCCCCCCCCGCAAACCTCCGTTTGTGAGATTAAGAGTCTCTTATGGTTTGTCTCCCTCCCGATCCCATCTTGTTTCATTTATTCTTTTCCTACCCCCAAACCCCCCATGTCAGAGACATAAAATTTTAAGAGTCTTGATGCATTTAGCTGAATTACTTTTTTAGAAAGTATATCAATTTTCATTCTCTCCAACAATGTGTGTGTGATCAAAACTGAGTATTCTTATTTTTTAAATATGTGTTTTCCAATTTGGTAAGTAGAACTTCTCTTATTGTAATAATTTTAATTTAGTCACTTACTAATAAGCTAATAACATTTGTTAGACATTTATATTTGTTAGACATGTTTTTTATTTTTACTATTTTTTGTTTCAAGTTTTTATTTATATTCCAGTTAGTTAACATATAATGTAATAGTAGGTTCAGGTGGAGGATTTAGTGATTCATCACCCATATATAACACCCAGTGCTCATCACAAGTGTCCTCCTTAATACCCATCACCCATTTAACCCATCTCCCTATCACTTCTACTCCAGCAATCCTGTTTGTACTCTATAGTTAAGAGTCTGTTTTATGGTTTATCTCTGTTTTTTCCCTTCCCCTATGTTCATTTGTTTTATTTCTTAAATTCCACATATCAGTGAAATCATATGGTATTTGTCTTTTTCTGACAGACTTATTTCACTTAGCATAATACCCACTAGTGCCATCCACATCGTTGCAAATGGCAAGATTTCATTTTTTGATGGCTGCATAGTATTTCATTATATATATACATCTTTTCATTCAAGTATCCATGGACATCTGGTTCTTTCCATAGTTTGGCCATTGTTGATAATGCTGTTATAAACATTGGGGTGCACATGTCCCTTCGGATGACTATGTTTGTATCCTTTGGGGTAAATACCTAGTAGTGTGATTGCTGGGTCATAGGGTACTTCTATTTTTAACATCTTGAGGAACCTCCATACTGTTTTCCAGAGTAACTGCACCAGCTTGCATTCCCACCAACAGTGCAAGAGGGTTCCCTTTTCTCCACATCCTCACCAACACATGTTGTTTCCTGTGTTGTTGATTTTAGCTATTCTGACTGGTGTGAGGTAGTATCTCTTTATGGTTTTGATTTGTATTTCCCTGATGATCAGTGATGTTGAGCATTTTTCATGTGTCTCTTAGCCACTGTATAGACATATGTTTTTTAAATTCAAGGATTACCAAACTATGGCCCATGTGCCAAATCTGCCTGGCAGTTGTCTTTGTGACACCTGTTTTGGAACACATGATACCCACTTGGTTACTTACGGTTTATGTCTGTTTTCACCCTACCACTGAAGACCTGAACAGTTGAACAGTTGTGACAGGGACTGTACAGCCAGCAAAACCTGAAAATCTTTACTATCTGGCTTTCTACAGAATATTTGCTAACTCATGCTTTAATGATCTGCTTGTTCACCACTTTTTCATATTTTTCTACTGAAAAACTAGTGGTTTTTGGAGGGGGAGACGAACCATGCGAGACTGTGGACTCTGAGAAACAAACTGAGGGTTTTGGAGGGGTGGGAGGTGGGAGGTTGGGTGAGTCTGGTGGTGGGTATTGTGGAAGGCACGTATTGCATGGAGCACTCGGTGTGGTGCATAAACAATGAATTCTGGAACACTGAAAAGAAATTTAAAAAAATAAAAATAAAAAAAACCAAAACTAGTGCTTTTTTAAAAAATAAACTGGCAATAATACCTTATATATTAATGGTTTTTAGTCTTTGTCATACATTTTTCAAATATTTTGCCAAATCGGTTATTTTTTAAATAAACTGTTCTATGGCGTATGTTTTTTTACTGTAGAGAAATCAGTAGTCAAATGTTTCAATTGCAAATATTTTTTCCTCCAATGATTTTTCTTTAAACTTTTATTTTGAAATAATTGTACATACACAGGAAGTTGCAAAGAAATGGATTTATTCAATAAATAAAGCTAGCAGTTGCAGGATATAAAATTATTATACAGAAATCTATTGTGTATCTCTACACTAATAATGAAGTAGCAGAAAGAGAAATGAAGAAAACAACCCCATTTATAACCGAACCAAAAAGAATGAAATACCTTGGTTAAATAAATTTAACCAAGAAGATTAAAGATGTATACCCTGAAAATTATAAGACATTCATGAAAGAAATTGAAGACAACACAAAAAACTGGAAAGAAATTTAATACTCATGGATTAGAAGAATTAATATTGTTAAAACGTTCATTCTACCCAAACCAATCTATAAATTCAATGCAAACTCTACCAAAACACCAACAGCATTTTTCACAGAACTAAAACAATTAATCCTAAAATCTATATGAAACCTCAAAAGACTCTGAATAGCCATAGCAATCCTGAGAGAGAAGAGGAAACCTGGAGGTATCACCATTCTAGATTTCAAGATATACTACAGTGTTGTAATAATGAAAATGATGTGGTATTGGTAAAAAACAGATACATAGATCAATGGAAGAGAACAGAGAACCCAGATGTGGACCCTCAACTCTATAGTCAACTAATCTTTGACAAATCAGGAAAGACTGTCCAGTGGGAAAGAGTCTCTTCAACAAATGGTGTTGGGAAAACTGGACAGACACATGCAAAAGAATGAAACTGAACCACTTTCTTACATGCTGCACAAATAAACTCACAACGGATTAAAGGCCTAAATGTGAGACCTTAAACCATAAAAATCCTAGAAGAGAAACATAAAAATCCTAGCAAGTTCTTTCTAGATATGTCCCTGAGGTGAGGGAAACAAAAACAAACATAAACTATTGGAAGTACATCAAAATAAAACACTTCTGCACAGCAAAGGAAAACATCAATAAAGCAAAAAGGCAATCCAGTGAATAGAAGATATTTGCAAATGATATATCCAATAAAGAGCTAATATTAAAAATATATTAACAACTTGCACAACTCAACATGGAAAAAAACCAAATAAGCTGATTAGAAATGGGCAGAGAACCCAAATAAACATTTTTCCAAAGAAGACATCGAGATGGCCAACAGACACATGAAAAGATGCTCATCATCAATCATTATTAGGGAAATGCAGATCAAAACCACAATGTGAGAATGGCTAGTATCAGAAAGACAAGAAATAACAAGTTGCTGAGGATGTGGAGAAAAGGGATCACTTATGTACTGTGGGTGGGAATATTAATTTGTGCAGCCAAAACAGTATGAAGGTTCCTAAAAAAACCAAAAATAGAAATAATATAAAATCCCAAAATTCCACTATTGGGTATTTACCCAAAGGAAATACTTATTTGAAAAGATATATGCACCCCTATGTTTACTGCAGCTTTACAACAGCCAAGATATGGAAGCAACCCAAGTGACCCAGAGATAGATAAACAAGATACGGTATGTATACACAATGGAATATTACGCATCCATAAAAAAGAATGAGATCTTGCCATGTGCTACAATATGGACAGGCCTAGAAGGAATCTGTTAAGTGTAATGAGTCAGAGAGAAAAACAAGTACCATGTGATTTCACTTATATGTGGAATCTAAAACAAAACAAAACAAAACAAAACCAAATGAACAAATAAAAAACCAGAATCTAAAATAAGAGAGCAAACTGGTGGCTTCTGTGGTGGGGGAGGAGGGACCTAACAGGTGAAGGGGATAAGAGGTACAAGTTTCCAGTTATAAAATTAAGTCACAGAGATAAAAGGTGTCGAATAGGGAATACATAGTTAGTAATATTGTAATAACACTGTATGGTAATAGATGGTGACTACACTTACCATTGTGAGCACTGAGTAATGTACAGAATTGTCAAATCAATGTTATACACCCAAAACTAATAAAATATTGTACGTTAATTATACCTCAATAAAGAAACCAGAATCCCCTATTCTGGAACGGGGCAAAGCAGTTTTTGCAAAATGATTGTTCTTTAGAAGAGTAACCCAACCAAGACCAAGTCCCTTGTCTACTCACAAGTGAAAAAGAGTGTGGTCTCATCCAGACGAATGGTCTTTGGCTTGATGCATAAATCCACACTGGCAGTATCCAGGCTGCGCTGGTGAGTCTTAGAGTTGTAGCAAGATGCTGAGCGGCAGTGGTCTCGAAGCCAGACATAATCAAAGCGCATCACGGTGTTAGCATATTGCAATTCTAGGGAAAAGCATTCTTTCATATTATTTATGATATTATTTTACACGATTAATTTTATAGAAGTAAATAAATATTTATTTAGGAAAACTTAAAAACAATCACTAATCAGAAAATTTCCTTCAAAAACTCTTCTACCAAGGAACAAGCAAGAGCACTAACCTTATCAAATACAATACATACTGTAGAATTTCTACGATGCTGGAATAGGAATAGCAGATAAAACCACAAAAGTATATAAAATGTCCAAAAATACACCTAAACGTGTATAGAAATTTGGTTTCTAATAAACTTACAGCTATAATCACTAGGAAAAATATGAATTCTAAAATAAATGGTGTTGGGACAACTAGACAGCCATTTGAAAAAAAAATTTGGGTTCATACCTCATATTGTTACCAGGTATCCAAGATAAACTCAAAACAGAACACAGTTCTAAATTTGGAAAATGAAACCACTGAAGTATTTTATTTTATTTTTTAAAATACATTAACAATTCTATTTTTTAAATTTAAAAAAAAAATTTTTACTATGTTCAGTTAGCCACTGTAATAGCACATCATTTGTTTTTTTTTAACATCTTAATTTAATTTTATTTTTTCAGTGTTCCAAGATTCATTGTTTATGCACCACACCCCATGCTTCATGCAATACGTGCCCTCCTTAATACCCACTACCAGGCTCACCCCCCCCCCCCCCCCCAAACCTCAGTTTGTGTCCCAGAGTCCACAGTCTCTCATGCTTGATCGCCCCCTCCGATTTCCCCCAACACCCCTCTCCTCTCATTCTCCCAATCTCTTCCATGCTATTCCTTATGCTCCACAAGTAAGTGAAGCCATATAATTGACTTTCTCTGCTTGACTTATTTCACTCGGCACAATCTCCTCCCCAACTTTTGTACATCATTAGTTTTTGATGTAATGTTCAACAATTCAACCACATGGGTGGAGGTAGAGGGTGCTAAGTGAAATAAGTCAGTCAGAGAAAGACAAATACCATTTGATTTCACTCGTATGTAGACTTTAAGAAACAAAACAGATGAACATAGCGGAAAGGGAAAAAAGAGAGGGGGGCAACACATAAAAGACTCTTAATGATAGAGAACAAACTGAGGGTTGAGGAGGGAGGTGGTTGGGGATGGGATAGATGGGTGATGGGTATTAAGGAGGGATCTTGTTGTGATGAGCACTGAGTGTTCTATGTAAGTGATGAATCATTATTGGGTGTTCTATGTAAGTGATGAATCATTAAATTCTACTCTTGAAACTAACATTAGACTGTATGTTAACAAAAATTTAAATAAAAACTTGAAATATTAAAATAAATAAAATATAAAAAATAAAACTATTACACATTGGGGTATCTGGGTGGCTCAGTCAGTTAAGTGTCTGCCTTCGGCTCAGGTCATGATCTCAGGGTCCTGGGATAAGTCCTGCATCAGCCTCCTTGCTCAGCAGGAAACCTGCTTCTCCCTCTGCCTGCCACTCCCCCTGCTGTGCTCCCTCTTTTGCATGCTCTCTCTGTCTCTCTGATAAATAAATAAATTAAATAAATAAATAATCTTTCAAAAAATTCTAGTCAGTTAACATATAATCTAACATTGGTTTCAGGAGTAGAATTTAGTGCTCCATCACCTGCATAAAACACCCAGTGCTCATCACAACAAGTGCCCTCCCTAGTACCCATCACCCATTTAGCCCCCCACCCATGTCCCTCTGTCAACTCTCAGTTTGTTTTCTATAGTTAAGAGTCTCTTATGCATTGTGCTCCTCTCTTTTTTTCCCTTTCCCCTTTGCTCATCTGTTTTGTTTCTTAAATTCCACAGATGAGTGAAATCATATGGTATTTGTCCTTCTCTGACAGACTTCCTTCACTTAGCATAATCCAATCTAGCTCCATCCACACGGTTGCAAATGGCAAGATTTCATTCTTTTCGATGACTGAGTAATATTCCAGTGTGTGTGTGTGTGTATGTGTGTGTGTGTGTACCACATCTTCTTTATCCATTCATCTGTTGAAGGGCATCTGGGCTCTTTCCATAGTTTGGCTATTGTGGACATCACTGCTAGCAAGACTGGGGTGCACGTGCCCCTTCGGATCAAGACATTTGTATCTTTTTTTTTTTAATGACATTTGTATCTTTAGGGTAAATACCCAGCAGTGCGATTGCTGGGTCATAGGGTAGCTCTATTTTCAACATTTTGAGGAACCTCCATGCTGTTTTCCAGAGTGGCTGCACCAGCTTGCATTCCCACCAACAGTGCAGGAGGGTGCCCCTTTCTCCGCATCCTCGCCAGCATCTGTCATTTCCTGACTTGTTAATTTTAGCCATCCTGACTGGTGTGAGGTGGTAGCTCATTGTGGTTTTGATCTGTATTTCCTTGATGCCGAGTGATGTGGAGCACTTTTTCGTGTATCTGGATGTCTTCTTTGGAAAAATGTCTATTCTGCCCCTTTCTTAACTGGATCAATTGGTTTTTGAGTTTTGAGCTGTATTAGTTCTTTATAGATTTTGGATACTAACCAAAATATATAAGGAGATTTTAAAAATCAGATCCATGATTCAGATTGTATTTTAGAAAGAGTATTCTAGATTTTGGACCATCAGCAGGGCAAGACAATGCTACAATATACTGGTAGGATAGTTGTCTCCTTGCTCCTCTAAAGCTTATGCTGTCCTATAACTCTACCCCTCTTCATTACTCTAAACAAATATCTGGTGTGCCACTCTATTTTTAAATAAATTAATAAAGATCAATGTACTGTCATCCCTGTCAACATTAATTGCAATACCTTTATAATTTTCATTTCAAACATCCTATACTACTCCTTGTTTCCTTTTCAGTTCAATTATTTGTGCACTCCTCACTCCAATAATCCTTCACCTGCACAAAGAGCTCTAATCCCATCATCTTGTCTCCTTTAATGTCTTCATTTTTCTCCTTATGGGGCCCAGCTTGTATGGTCCATCATTTTAATCCATTCCTTGAAAACACCCTTAACTCCCTTGCTCCTCTCTCTCCCCCTGCCATACTTCCCTGAAAAAACCTAATAAACTCAAGTCCCCACTTCATCTGTGCCTGCAGCCAAGCAGAAAATCTTTTAAACTGCAGTGGCCATTCTCATCACCAAAAGTCTCAAATGAGTACTCACCACTGCCAAACATTCTGCATAATTTCCTGGTAAAATCACTCACTCACTTTCCAAGAAGACTATTTCACACTGTCTCCTATCTATCTCCTCAAACTGCTAGTACAGCTTCTCCCTTCCCATTTTCAACTGGTGACCTTTCTTGCTCCTTCAAAGAGAATATGGAAGCAATTAGAGGAGAATCTCCAGGAGCACCTGGGGGGCTTGGTCGGTGAAGCATCTGTCTTCAGCTCAGGTCACGATCTCAGGATCCTGGGACTGAGCCCAGCGTTGGGCTTTCTGCTCAGCAGGGAGTCTGCTTCTTCCTCTGCCCCTCCCCCTGCTCATGCTCTCTCTCCCTCTCTCTCAGATAAATAAATAAAATTTCAAAAAAAAAAAAGAATCTCCACATCCACCCACTTATTTGCATCTGTGTCCATATATTCTACCTTCCTTCCTGTTACTATGGTTGAAATATCGGTGCACTTAACCAATGCCAACACTTCCATTTATGAATTAGATCCTATCTCTTCTCTCCTACATAGGTACTATACTTCTGAAATTGCTCCATCTTCTTTTCGTTTATCAAAATTTCCCTCCCCACTGGATCACCTGCGTCAGCAAACATGTTGTAAGTTACCTCCATCTTAAAACAATGTTCTCCTTCACTGTATGTATCTCTTCCATTACCAGCCAACTTCATTTATATTCCCTTTCACAGTGAAACTTATGGCTTTGTTTCCACTACCTTCTCCAATTTCCTCTTAATAAACTTGTTATAAGTTTCAGAATGGTTTTAGATTTATAGGAAAGTTGCAAATACAAAGAGTTCCCACATGGCCCTCACCCAGTTTCCCCTATTATTATTTTATATTAGTATGGGAAAGTTGTCCCAACTAATGAATTAATATCAACACATACTTTATTAACAAAATCTCATGCTTTATTTGAATTTTATTAGTTTTTCCCTAATGTCCTTTTTCTGTTCCAGAATCCCATCTAGGACTCACATTACATTTAGACATCATGTCTCCTTAGGCTTCTCTGAGCTGTGACTTTCCTTGTTTTTGATGACCTTGATAGTTTTGAGAGGTACTGGTCAGGCATTTTGTACAAGTGTTACTCAATTTGGGTTTGCATGTTGATTTTCTCAGGGTTAATGTGGGATTATAGTATAACCTATTGGGTAGATTTTTGGGAGACTGGCTACAGAAGTAAAGTGCCCTTCTTAGCACATCATATCAATGGCACATGCTATTAATAGGGCTTATTACTGATGTATTAACCTTTCTAGCCAAGGTAGAGTTTTCCAGGTGTTACTGCTTCTAGGCTTTTGCAGTAGACAGAGCTAGGAAATATACTAATCCACATGAAAAAACATATCTACAATTATTTCTGTATGTATCCATCCGTATCTATATTAAGCTAAACATGAATTCATATTGATGTCTCCAACTCTATTCCAGAAGAACAAGATGCATTCTAGCCTTCCCCCATGCTTATCTGTAACAACAGTCTCTGATGGTAAAGAAACCTGGCTCCCACTATCTGCTGTATACAGCAGTTTTACAATTCTAAATCTGTGTTCATGTAAGAAACAACTTTAAAAACTAGAGTATAGTATTTACGTATGGTTCCTTTTGTCTTCAGCCTTATGGTTTCCAGTAAAAACATTGTTTTCCAAAGCTATGTATGCCAACACTTTTCCCTCCATTCCCTTCAGCTGGATTCATGTATCACAGGCTGCATTCCATCCTCAGATCTGACTTCCTGGTTGACTTTTAAATATCTGTATATATTTAAATCTATATACTTTCACTTTTTGCTATCAAGTTCTATAGTTTTTTTTCCCCAAATGCAGTTATTAGTTACTA